GACCTTCATTGTAAATATTGATATTTCCATTTGACTTCCAGTATTTGGGTCTTTACCATTCTGATCCTCGTAGCATCTTTCTGTTTCACCTGAAACATGCTCTGATATTATGAGGCATATTTTGTGATCTGAGTTCATTCTGATGTGGCACAACAAATGTGCAACGACTCTTTAAAAGCTGTAAATATAAAGCTGTAAATAAAGATATGAAAGCAAAAATGTTCACTTCTCTTTATGTCTTTAACATGTTTAAGTTCTCTAGAATAGCTCAAACGAGAGATTTTTATTTGTAAAGATAGATTACGGTAGCACGCATTTAATCAAAATAATTGATGGTAAAATTAAATAGTACTTGGTGTCTATCAATTCTAAACAAGATCCTACAATACAAATGAGTACATCTCAGTTTTTAGTTACATGTAGGTACCCATCTAAAAGCAAATTATAAACATAACATCCTACTTTCGTTTATTCACCTTGGCCTCGTTAAAGATTATATTGCATTTTACATTGATCAACTTTTTTATAATTTTACAATTGTAGAACTTAAAACAGGAATTCCCATACACAAAACTACATGTACTATGTACAAGGTGATCACCAAATTCCGGGAATTTGTCTGTCATTTCATTATTTTTGATGCAAATTACTTGAAATTTTCAAGGTATATGGAAATGTTATTATGAGATGGATAAAATAGTCTCATTATAATATGATGTCAAAATGGATAATTATTGTTGCTACAGCAACATGACGAATGGCGTCGCGGGTCAAACAAAATTTGAGTTCATTTTAATTCAACACAAAACTACATGTACTATGTACAAGGTGATCACCAAATTCCGGGAATTTGTCTGTCATTTCATTATTTTTGATGCAAATTACTTGAAATTTTCAAGGTATATGGAAATGTTATTATGAGATGGATAAAATAGTCTCATTATAATATGATGTCAAAATGGATAATTATTGTTGCTATAGCAACATGACGAATGGCGTCGCGGGTCAAACAAAATTTGAGTTCATTTTAATTCAACTTGATCCAAAGGTATGGTTTATTAGCATGGTTAATCAATACCTATATGGTTAACATACACTCCCCTACATAAGTTTAGCAACCTTAGTACGATTGTGTTTATTGTCCGTCTCCTATATGTTTATGTTTATGTATATTTTATTCCACCATAAATGATGAGTTACATAAAGTTATTTAAGATATACTATTACATAAAGTTATTTAGGATATAAAATAAATAGAGATATAGAAAGTGAAGTACCACTATCTACAGCAAGCTACATCTTTTATTTTACAAGTTGTATATATGCTGAGCAACAGTAATATCTCCTTGTTTCAGGATATTTAGAATGATTGCATTAAATCTTAACCATGGTAATTCATAGCTCTAATGTGCTCTAAAATAGGGACCCTTTCTTGTGCTAGGCTTTCACAAGAGAAAAGAAAGTGAACTACATTTTCATCTGCATCATTACATAAAGAACATAATCTAGATTTAGCATCATGGTCATACGCATTTAGGGGACATGTCACAGTCAGGATTCTTATGATAAAAGTACAGGGTTTAATACATTTTGGGTACGCCCTAGCCTGTACCCACCATTTTGATGGTTTCACTTGTCTAAAACTAACAAGAGATCCAAAAACATGCAGTTACCCCCCTATCACACCAAACTAGTTCTTACCCGTTCTTGCCAGTCCTACGAAAAAGTCGTAAAACGGGCTCAATCTGGCTGTGGTCGGGAAATATGTCTAAAATAATTAGCTACTTCGTTCAAAAACAGTCTTCAATACGTCCATTTCATTCGCAATTCGTTCAGGTCGCACCATGTCAGTGTGCAACGTCGTATAACGCGTCCCTTGGTCTAGAAGGTCATCATGACCTGATTACAGAACGGTATGGTCAAAATTCTAAAATCACCTTCCCGTCTGAGAACGTTCATGAAGTTCGTAAATAGTCTTTACAAAGTTGCAGCCACGTTCATTCCGTTCGCACACAGTTTTAAACCCGTTTGCAATTAGTTCTACCTCGTTCTGAATACGTCCTCAGACAGTTCAACTCGTTGTAAAAACGTCCCTGGTAAGATTGAAGTACGACGGTTCCGTTCGTAGTACGTCCAGCCCGTCGTTAGTACGTTGTCACTCGTTCTAATTGTAGAACGTGGCAACCACGAGAGCATTTTGAGCATGTTCTAAGTTCTACAGGACCTACCCGTTCAAGTACGTTCGATGAAGTTTGTAAATAGACCCCAAACGGTTCTAAGTACGTCCAGTCCGTTCGTACACAGTTGAAGCCCGTTTTCGAGAACGTAGTGAGAACTAGTTTGGTGTGATAGTAGGGTTTAATCTCCACTTGTGAAGTTCATGGTTGTGAACTATTGACTAAACTAGCCTCATCCAATAACCCTTAGAACATATGTCACCATTCGAGATCATTATCAAGATAATACGAGAGAGGTATGAAAGTCTTGATACAAAAATATAAAAAATTACTGAGAAATTATATTTTTTGCAAACTCGTTCACAAGCAGTCTTTGATACGTCCTAAATCACTAGCTATATAGTTTAAATACGTTTTTAATAAGTTCTCTCTCGTCGTTCTCAATACGTCCCAAGGCAGTTCAATTCGTTCTTCTAAAATGTTATTAGTAGGACCGTGAAGTACGACAGTTCCATCCGTAGTACGTCCATGTCGTCTTAAGTAAGCTGTCACTCGTCCTGGTTGCAGAATGTGACAAAAACCACCAGAAAATGTTGAGCATGCTCTAAGTTCTGGAGGGATATCAGTTCGAGTACGTTACATGGAGTTTGTAAACAGACCCCAGAGGGTTATCAGTACGTCCAATATGTTCGTACACTGTTAAAGGCCGTTCTCAAGAACGTAGTGAGAACCGGTTTGGTGTGATTGAAGTTATATTCAAAAGTTTATTTTCAAAAACCCAAGTTCTTCTTCATCCTAAATTATCCCGAGATCCTTCCACTTTCAAGCCCTCGAAAGATCTCCCCAAAGTTTCTCCCCGTTCTAAGAATCAAACTCCCTTTTTATTCTTTCTTCCCCCCACACGGCACAAATCCCTGGGCTTATGATGTCAGCTCTAAGCACGTCTAAGCACGTATTGGATCCAGTATCCGTTTTCGGACAATGATATCTCGAAATAGGTTTGAGATATCAAAAAACTAAATCGAAACTAAAACTAAACGACCGAGAAAAATCATCTGGAGTCTAATAAGAAAACTGACGAAAACAATAGACTTCAGATTTCATCTGGAGTTGAATAAGAAAAAATGATGAAAACAATAAACTCCAGATTTCATTTGGAGTCTAATAAGAAGAAAAAGAAGAAAACTGATGAAAACAATAGACTCCAGATTTCATTTCAATAATAAAGAAGAAGAAGAAGAAGACTGGCAAAAACAATGGACTCCAGATGTAAATCTGGAGTCAGCGTTCATATATTATAAATATAGCATTTAGGCACCGACGATTACTAGTACCTTGAAAAGGTTGCAGACATTAGAGTTAGTTATATCATTGATAACGGATATGTTTCTTTAATTCAGTTGATCAAACTAGTTTTAAAATCGGTATTGTCAAGATTACCTAACTTCATGTTACTACCTCCCTGTACCTTCCTTCCTATACCTACCTACATGCACCTACCTACCTGTACCCACCGTCCTATATGTACCTATCTACATGTACCTACCTTCCTGTACCTACCTACATGAAGCTACCTACCTGTAACCACCGTCCTATATGTACCTATCTACATGTACCTACCTCCCTGTACCTACCTACATGCAGCTACCTTATACCTGTACCCACCGTCCTATATGTACCTATCTACATGTACCTACCTCCCTGTAACTACCTACATGCAGCTACCTACGTGTACCCACCGTCCTATATGTACCTATCTACATGTACCTACCTCCCTCTACCTACCTACATGCAGCTACCTACCTGTACCCACCGTCCTATATGTACCTATCTACATGTACCTACCTCCCTGTACCTACCTACATGCAGCTACCTACCTGTACCCACCGTCCTATATGTACCTATCTACATGTACCTACCTCCCTGTACCTACCTACATGCACCTACCTACCTGTACCCACCGTCCTACATGTACCTATCTACATTTACCTACCTTCCTGTACCTGTACGTATCAAACTACCTTTAAATTTACCGTAACCTTCATGCACCTACATACTGTAGATGTACCTACCTACATATATATACCTTCAGGTACCTACCTAGTTACCTACATGCATTTACCTACCTTAACATACCTACATGTACCTAGTATCCGTACCTACACGTACGTTCCTGTACCTACGAACGATGTTCCTCCCTACATGCACCTACCTACCTACAGTACCTACCTACATTTACCGACCTTCCTTCTAACTAGAAAATGGCAACTCCACGGAGTAGCAAATCCCAACGAACACTATATAAATCATCAATCTGTACAGTCACAATGTAATATTTACCATCTACTCTTTCCTTCAATAAATATTTTAGATCATTGTAATCATTCTTTCAAGATAACTCTAAGTAATGGCGAATTTCTGCTCTAGTCAGCCATTTTGAATTTTCAGAGGCGCAAATCAGAAAAACAATGCATACCTACCTAATGTGATCTACTCTGAAATTCCTTCAATTTGGGTATAATATAGCCATACTTTTGTTGAGTGTAGTATTTCACAACACCAACATGTGGTTCTATGACCCGGTGACCCGATAAGGTCAAACTTATTTGTAAACAAGCTTTCATTTTAAGGTCGAGCATTTCTCTTGGTATTTGCGTGACGCAGTTCAGACGTTCCAATATGGCGAACATCATTTACATATTTTGAATATACGTTTTATATACGAATCACTTATTTACATATTTCGTACGCACGTTTTCAATACGAATGACTTATTATTTCTCAATTCAAGGCAACGTTTATAGTACGTGGGGCATAGTCAAAATGGGTATAAAAAGGGGTAACATTGTCATTACGGGGTCGAAACTCAGAGATCGAAATTACGGGGTCGAAATCCGGGAGTTGAACTACAAGAACGTCTACGCTACTGCACGTCTAAGCCAAGAGCTGCTCAACAATACAAGTAAGTCAATTAAGCTACAAATTCTTGGACGGTTTTACTCTAGCATTATTTTGGTTCTTTGATGTCATCAATCTTTTGGTTGAATTGCTAAATTATACGGAGGTTTTAAAACCCGTAGTTAAAGGTACTAAATGTTTACTTTGCATTGTTTTTGGCAACTTAGACAATATCTGTAACTACTTCTGAGTTGTAACTAGTGTTGTAAATTGGGAATCATTGTACATATATTTTGAAGTACTAAACTATCCAATAAGTGATAGGAAATATATTGACTGGTATTAATAATCTTAATAAATCTTCATTGTCAATGTGCGAGTAATAGTAAGTTAGACGATCACCCATTTTCTCTCACAATTTGAAGCATTTTTAATTTATTGACTACATTGATATTACGCCCTTCACCTACCACTAAACTATCCTTGATCTCTACACTTTGGAACTGACCTATTCATCAATTTAAATAGGTTGCCCCACTTGAGCTACTTAAAGGGTGCCCCCCTTTTATTAAACGTTTGTAAGTTACCCATTACGTGATTTATTCGGTCACACCCCACGAGATTACTCTCTTTCACTCATTCATGTGTTATTCACTCATTCATACTCAAGAGATTTTTCAAGCTTAACACTTGGTGGAACTGCCTTGGGTTTTCTAGACTTTCTAAAGAAAGCACATTGAGTAATAGTCATTTATGTGGACAAGAAGTCGTCAAAGAAATCACAATAAAATTATGGCACAAGCCGCTCAACAATTGAATAACCAAAATGAACAAGCCCAAATGGATCAGCCCCCCTTACTTGACCATGCTCAAGAACCTGAAAATTTTGAACAAAATCAAGATCAACAACCGGAACCAAATCAGCAAGATCAAGTTATAAATAATGAAGTAAATGCGGCCGGAGAAATTCAACAACAAGTCGACAAAATCCTAGCAAAATTGCAAGTTGATGGCGGACATAAAGGTCAGATAATTAAACCACCAATCTTTAGCAGCGCTAGCTCAGTTAGTAATCCTAAATCTTGGATAGACAAATATGATATATACGCTCAGTTTTCAAAATGGCAAAATGCAGAAAAATGTTTATTGTTGAAAATGTTTCTCAGTTCTAATGCCGAAATTTGGTTTGACAACCTACCTCAAGATATTAAACAAAATTGGGATGTTTTGAAAAAACCGGGATATATGTGAAATAGATACATGTTGTTAATATACTACCAACATTTCAAATTATAATATTTATTATTTTGGTTTAAAATGAACAACAAAAATTCCCGCCATTTTTAAACTGGCGGCCATCTTGAAATAAAAAATTTTGCGTAAAACTATTCACCAATATACATCTTTCCATCAAATATGAAGAAAATCTGTTGACTAGTATTCGAGTTATCCTCCGGACAGACGGACATCCCAATGTCTTCTTCGACTGACTGACTGACTGACGGACAGACAGACGGGCGGAGGGCTTCACTTTATCCCTACAGAACTTCGTTCGGTGGGATAATTACCTGTACCGTAATCTTCACGTACCTACCTACCTGAACCTACCTTCCTACCTACCTTTCAGTGCTTCAACCATTAATTAATTTGGTTATGCGCTACATCACCACATGATTTTAGCTACCCACACATATCTATTTGCAGTGATATCTATCAAAAATAAAGAAGTCGATGTCCTGATTTGATTAGCTTTCAGCGACATCTGATGATTTCATATACCGGTTACACTTTCAAAATGTATTTTGAATAGTTTACTGTACCGAACATTATAAGTTAACTTTACATGTTTTCGTTTTACTTCTAATTCATATGTTCATCAATTAATCGAAAATATGGTAATAGTATGCATTGCTTTTAATATTCTCATATAGGCAATGGTATAGGTATTGTACAGATGGGACAGAGACTATAATGAATATAGACCATAATCCCTGGGTGACCATCATTTCTTTCACACCGGTATACACCAATGGGGCAAAATCCCACTTGCCCCATCGAGTCCCATCTTGCCCCATCGAATCCCAACTTACCCCATCTAATTCCATGAAGTTCCATGGGACCTTGATGACTTTTGCCCCATCGAGTCCGATCGTGCCCCATTGAGTCCCATCGAATCCCAACTTGCCCCATTGAGCCCTATGAAGTCCCATCAGATCCCACGGAGTCCAATGAAGCAAGTCACGTGATACGTCATATGATTGAAATCCCACGTTGCCCCATGGAAAGAATGAAGATGTTCATTCTCATCGATGGGGCAAGATGGGACTCCGTGGGCAAAATCCGACGGAGTCCCATGGAGTCCCACGGACTTCATGGGGCAAAATCCCAAAAGGTCCCACCCACGAGGTCCCACGCAATGTTAAGTCTATGGAGGTCCCAACTTGGTGTATACCAGTGTAAAAGGGTAGGAGGTCCTACCCTATCAAATTATAGTCCTACTCTCCATTGATTTATATGGTGACCTAAATACAACTATTTCCCTCATTATCTTATACGCAATCAGGGCCAGTAAGGGCCGTTAAGAAAGGGGACCATAATCCCTGGGGGACCATCATTTCTTTCACACCGGGCTTAAAATAGATGAGTACAAATTTACAAATAAATCGTAAAGCGCTTTAGAAATTCGAGTGTAATTAGTAAAATCATGATATCTGATTTTGTAAAACTAGGAAAAGCTTTTGATTTTTATGGTGTAATTATAGTAAATGTGTCTTTCAATGTTCACTTAATATGAAGGAAATTGTTATATAAATTGTAATTAATGTTTGGATATGCTTGAATTATTACATAAAATATTATGTAACATATTCTTCAAAACTATACTATTTCGCACAAACATTGCATAAAGCATTTATGTCCTGAACCCTGACAGGGACAGCTACATCACGGTCTCAGACACTTTCGGGTCGGGAACTCCAAAGTTATAAATGGCTTTTGCTATGCACCGATTGGACACGATTATATTACTTTCCTGTGACTAACTAGAAAACGTCAAATCATGTACACAGCCTCGATATGGATTTGGTAGAACCAATGCCATTCGGACAACTTATAAGTGAGTAGCGATATCGCACTGTGTGAACATCCAATTCAGTTTCATCACTTTTATTTCAAATAGTATTAATAAAATGGAAAATCATGAGAGTAGAAACGCGATTTTGGAGGACCGGCTACCAGGTTTTGTCATCCAAAACTTACAATGCCCAATATGGTGAGTTCTTTCATAGTACATTTTTCTTTATAAAAAAGTTCTGAAAAACGTACACATTGTCAATTTAATGGTCATCTTTTGAATGGTAACTTTTTAATTTGAAAAAATATATACCTACCTTTTTATATACTGTTTTAGAATACACATCGGACAATTCTTTGGGCCTTGGTACCATAGCGTTCGGAATGAAATGAAACATCTATCCGAACCTTGTTGAAACAAAATGACACAAATGTTATTACATTGCTATTGTAAAGTTATGAATCGACAACCCAATGTTGTGATAAGATACAATTTTCTGATAGTATATGGCAATTGTCTATTATATTTAATAGGGCCAGGGGGAAGCTACGTTCAGGGAAAACATGCAGACCATTCACCAAAAGATGAAATGGAAGTTGTCTGCAACTACGGGTGGTTCGGGGGATTTTATGTCTCCTGGATTCAATGCCTTTGGCGGTGTGTGGCATTTGACGTGCTCCAAGACGCATGGAGCCCTAGTGAAGGTGGGCTTGGTTCTCACCCGAACTACCCTAGAACTGGACGTCCAGTTTGAGTAAGTATAGTCATAATCATTGCAATTTATAAAATTAAGAATTAAGGCCTAACTATCAACCCCAAAACGAAAACTTATTTTATAAGCATCTTCATCTTCATCTTTTGAAATCATATTATTTGCTATTATTGCGAGAGATCGAGTTCTTTAAATGATGAAGTAAGTAAATGGAGGAAACAGAAATTACGAATGAGACTGATATGGGCGAATATTAAACCTTCTATTAATACACTTTCCAAGACTTGCATGGGAGTGCCAAGTGCCAATCATCGGTATTCACTTATTTGTGAGAATTGCATACACCTCCATTGAACTCGTTTCTCAGAGTGTGGGAAAGGAAAATACGCATCAGAGTCGTTTGATACGAGTACGTATTCAATTGCTTATTTTGCTTATAGGATAAGTACAAGAACAAGTTCCGGGGGTGAGGACGACTTTCTCTTTAGAGATCAAAAGGTCTTTGCCGAAAACAACCACAGGTCAAAAAACATTTTCTCTGCAGAGTATGACGAAATCGATGTTTTTTTACACCTCATAAATTACAAAAAGTAGTTGTTCTTATGTTTTCATAACAAAATGCTTTAATTGTGTTACGTTTCGTTTAATTTCATCTTTTTCAAGCACCTTCAATGATGTCAACGTACGATTCATTTATTTATACTGATTGAAACCCTGTTGAGGCTTACCTCAGAGCAAATATATCTGACGGATATCGTATGAATAATTGCTCTTCTTCTTGGAATGAAAGGTACTAGTAATTCATAACAGGTAACCTTTTCAAAAATCATCGTTTTGGCCAAAGACCTTTTGATCTTTAATCAACCGTTAACACAGCATACCCATGGCCAATATTTCCTAGGCGCAGTTAGCCATGACATTACAACGAAGTCAAACAAATACTACAACCACTGCCTGGCCACTAGCGCAGCCACCACGAGCGCAACCACCACTAACATTATCATGATTGTGTAGTTTGTTGTATACATAACTGTATTATTATTATCCTTTAATTTGACTGTATGTAAACAGAGTTACGTTTTTAGAAACATATTTTAAGAAGAGAATTTCCGTATTGGAACGAGACGAAGTCGTGTGCCAATACAGAATATATCGAGAGGAGAAGATATCCTGTATTGCCGCGAGACTTCAAATCATTCTATAACGTTTTTATCGTGTGATCCTCTGTATTGCTACTGAGAATGTCCACTCCCCACCAGTATTTTCTGTATTGCGACGGAGATGATCAATGGGGACATTCTCAATAGCAATACAGATTAGTACAACACAAGAACTGGCCAATCAGAAGGCTTCATTTTACAGATCATACGATAAATACATGTACATGTAGTTAACCACATAACAGTGAGAGAGATACTATTGTTTTATTAGGTTATTTTAGAAAGATTTACCATTATGTTTTCTTTAATTTAACTGATGTTAATCATGTCACTTATGAAATTCCTATGCTGGATAAGCAAATAAAATGTCTATTTTATATAATTATCTTGTCCAAACTTGTATTACTGTTATCAGCTTTGATTTGGCATTCTCTTCATGCCATTCCGTTCACTGACTCAATCTCCAACATATCAGCATACTAATGTATTCATACTATCATGTTTTATGTCATGCAATACGTGGACGGTCGTATTGTATTGTTATTACTTAATGGGAAATAAAAATAAGTCTTTATTGGAGTATGTATGACCGCTAAAATTCTTAAAATGCTAATAGTTGTGATTCTTGTATGTTTATCAGATTAAAATCGAAAGAAAGACCTCGAGTTTGTAATTTATGTCAAATATATGACCACAAAATTTATTCTGGCCATTTATAATGAGATCGGTCATATTTTTTTAATCATTGTCCTGATAACTATCCGGAAATATAATGTGCATCCATATTTCAATGAAGTTAATTTGAAATATAGGATCAAAACCTAGGCTAGGATATCCATATTTTAATAGAAAACATGGTTCGAAAAATGTCTCTAATAAATTATACGTTCTAGATCTTACCAATAACTTTCAATATATGCCCTCTATATTCAAAACGAGATTCACTTTTATACAAGGGGCAATCTGCGATTAAATCTTTACGTTAAGTTTATCGAACTTTCCGATATGTTCACTCCAAGCCATCTATATTTCCAAATGATCATTAAAACTTTACGTAAAGTTTAATTCTCAATTTCCGAGATTTTAAATCCAGTGCCATCTTTATATCAAACACACCGTTTACACTTTTTGTAACATTTATTCGAGCCGACTCAACGATGTTTAAATGCCATCTATATTTCAAGTATATCATTAAATCTTTACGTAAACTTTATTATAGGAAACTACGATAAAGTCTCTACGTAAAGTTTATTTTACTATAAGGAAAGAACGCTAAGTTTTTCAGTTTTTACAATAAGGAAAGAACGATAATTAGAGACAATAAACAGTAAAAGAGACAATTTCCTTCTTTAAGAAGTTTTCTATATAAAGTACGAAACTAAAAGGAAACAACCATAAGTCTTTCCGTAAAGTTAATATTAACTTTACGTAAAGTAAGAAACTAAAACCCATACAACCATTTACCACAATTTTATTAAACGTAAACGTTGTTTATCGTATTAATACTCTTCGTTAAGATTAGCATAGTTATAGGACGCCGAAGACTTTTGGCAGGATTTGCATTCCATAGAAGAGATGTACATTCCATAATTTTGAAGTAATCTCCCAATTCATCTGAATCACATAAATCACAAAATCTATCCATACGTTCTGTAAATTTATACCGCTTCTCTCAATAGGAAGCTTATGATTTCCTGTCCTAAACTTACATAAAATATTCAAAATACAATTTAGTAAACTCCTACTTCTGTACATAATGATCGGCGAGTTTCTGTTTCACCATATCACAAAATATCTCACCGAATCTTGGACAAACAAATTTTACCGAATAATGGTTGCGCCATTTGTTACGACAACGGATCAATTTTAAGGGAAAATTCCTCTACACTACAGTTGATAAATCTATAATAATAGTTAAGAGTTTCAAGGCAAAAAGAACGTGACATTACGAGCATCGCTTTGGTTGATGTACTTCACAAAATCAAGGAGGATAAAGCAAGGGACATCTTTGTGTTGATATAGAACTATGATTATCGATTTAAGGAATGCTGGGCTACAGGAATGACAAAATTTTGATTCTTGGATGAAATCAAACAACTTTAGCACATTCTTAACCTTACCTGTTTTATGATACAATCGCTCAAATTGCTGTACTTGCTCGTTGCATAAAGATGATAACACAAGAAAGCTTATTTTGCTGATAATATTTTATTTGCACATCATAAGTGCAATAAGACGCTATGCATAATTATGCAACCTGGGTCTAAAACAACTGACATACCATATTTAAGCAGATATCGAGCAAATTCATAAAAATATTTTTGATCGATAAGGTCATCGATTATATAACTAAAAGTATGTTCTCTGAGATCGATGTGAAAATATTTTGATTATTTCAAATGTTGCCGTTGATTCGATTTTAAATGCTTCTAAATAATCTACAAGTGCTTACTATGATTTCTATATTAGGTAATATTTTGACACTTCCCCGGTTCCATAAAAGGAGCATTTTTACCATTTACTCGACTCGTTAATTTACTTTCGTCTACCGAGAACATTGTGAACAAAAACTCCTCAGAACTTTTAAATCCTCAGTCTAAACATGGCGTTTTAAAGGTTCATACGTCGACTTTGAATTGACTTTCATGCATAATTCGAAAATAGAATCATCAGAGAAGGTTTTAAACCATGAAACCAACTCTTTTTGTATCATTTTATCGGCCCCGAAGCCCAATGTTTCTCTAAAGTGGAGTATTTCACCAATCGAATATGTCAGCTTTTGTTCAAATGGCAGAAAAACTACATTTTGTATCTTCGCATGTGAAAAGCAGTACACCTCAAGCCTCTTGAATTATATTTATTACGTTTCATAATACTGAAACAATATGAAGTGATGTTGAACAAAACGCATGCCTTAATAATGAGAATATTTTGTTGACTTTCAACTTTTAGTATTTGTCCCTGTGGATACTTTAAGGTAACTCAAAATGTTAAATGAATATTTATTTCAAGATACGAGTATTGCAACATGCAACCGTGATTCCTTAATTCCAAAATCGTGGGTTATCTATTACTCCATATACGAGGGTATATCAGAAAGTTCTCATAATATCTCTCTATTTTTTAATTTTTCAATGTATTCTTATGAAATTTTCATAGAATCTGCAGTATGGAATATTCTATTAATCTATGAAAAAATATTAGGTATAACAGAAATATTAGATAAATAATGGTTGCAAGAGTAACCGGGAATCAAGGTACCCGGGGCAAATAAAAATAATTGAGAGAATGAGCTTAATTAACCTTGTTTACATACATAATAAACTCTCATAAATTACCAAACACATTAAAATTTTAACTTGAATATGTTGTTAAATGCCTTTACTATAAAATTAATTGATCATGTGGATTGTGTGGTGTCATGGGGGATGCTTACATGCTTCATTTGATGTGATACCAGACTCTGAGAATCAAAGCTTAATAATCAGAAATGACCGAGTAAGATAATGCATAGATGCAAGGATCATCTGAAAAATAATATTCGCACTAATAAAAAGTTTAGTTTAGTTCGAAAAATATTTTGCTCATACTAAAGATTATCTAAAACAAATACGTTGCAAAGATATCAACATGAATACACCCTATGCGGGGTATATTATTTATTTAAGATGGACTAAAGTGGAGATTGACTTTCCTTGGAATACTTGATAAAACAGTTGTAGTGTCTAACATCACTTCTAACACCCCAGTCACATTTGTCGCACGGCGGCCGCAAGTCGACCGCAGATCAATTAAATCGGTGAATTTCTGCGGCGAGCGTAGAAAAACTACGCTCGCCTTGCGGCCTCCGTACGGCGTATGCAGATTTTTTACAGGCCGCAGGGAAGGCGTAGAAATTATAATTCGGAGTTATAATTTTTGTTCATTTCTGAGGTCCCCGTAGAAATCAACTGGCTCAACAAGATTGAATCATTATTTGTCAATGTTTCACGATCACTTTTCATTTGGCATTACATCCTAGCACTTTGAATAACATTTATAAATTGTCCTGATGTAAATAAAATGAAAAAAACTATTATTTATCAATAGAAATTAAAAATTCACCGTGCGGCTGCCGTGGGAAATGTGACTGCAAAAGTATGAGAGCGCAGAAATTCTGCGGCGAGCGTAGAAAACCTACTGGCCGCAGAAATGATAGACCGCAAGGTCGCCGTAGGAAATGTGACTGGGGTGTAATGAAGCATTACAATTATCCATTATGAGATCACATTGAATTCACATAACCATTATAATAGTTTAAAACAGTCAAGAATACATGGTATTTAACAATTTGATGCATTGCATTTAAACATGGTGAGTTGGGACTATTCCTGCACGATTTTTTATCTGCCCAGGGTGCCTTGATTTCCATTTACTATGGCAACCATTTCTTAAATAATATTTCTGTTATACCAGATATTTTTTGATAGATTAATACAGCATTCTATACTACACATTCTGTGAAAAATTCATCAGAATATATTGAAAAATAAAAAATTAGAGAGATATGATGAGAACTTTATGATATACCTTCGTATATATTTGCAGATACACATGGGTTCTGATATTTCTATAAGTTTAAACAAACTTATGAATATATGAATAGATATGTACTGATTATTGTGATAATAAAAACCTTAAAACCTAAAACTTATGCATATCGTTAACATTGTTTTCAACGCAGATGTATTATTCGTGATGTCTGACATGTACATCAAAAACGAATGTGCCTGTCTGGCCAATCTAACACCCCAGTCACATTTCCTACGGCGACCTTGCGGTCTATCATTTCTGCGGCCAGTAACATTTCTACTCTCGCCGTAGAATTTCTGCGCTCTCATACTTTTGCAGTCACATTTCCCACGGCAGCCGCACGATGAATTTTAAATTTCTGTTGATAAATAATACTTTTTTTCATTTTATTTACA